AGTTTTTGACTATACATTTCATATATTCAGCATAACACACGTATAATATACGTATGTATACACAGTTGTTTGCATATAACATATTTAGCTTATATTATCTTCCTATTTATGTGCCAAGATATATAATTATAAACTGCATATATATTAAAATTAATAAACCGATAAAAATTTTTGTAATTATTGCAATTTGCAGTTACAGTCAAAAACTATTTTTAATATTATATATTAAATTTAATATATTAAAAGTAATTTTTGATTATACATTTCATATATTGAGCATTTTACATAACGCAGTTGTTTGCATATAACTTAGCTTATATTATCTTCCTATTTATGTGCCAAGGTATATAGTTATAAACTGCATATATATTAAAATTAATAAATCGAATAATAATATTTAAATGCACAATAAACCGAATAATAATTGTAATATTTATCATGTCATTTATCTGTTTTATTTAAAATGAAGAAACAAAATTTTCAATTGCCGCAGATAACTTAATAACTAATATGTCGCAAGAGGCGATGCGGCGTCGCTTTGCACCCGTTTCCCTCTTGCTTGTTGGCCCTTTTTCTTTGGTAGGATTAATTTTCATGAAGTTCCTGAAATAAAAGTAATTGATATTAACAAGTATGTTTAGAATAAATATTGCACTAAAGGCCAGGGTTGGGTAAGTTAATTTTTTTTTAACTAAGTTCAGTTAAAGTTAACAGCCTTGAAAATTAAACTTAGTTAAGATACAAGTTAACACATGTATGTATGTTTATATGTACCTTTGTATAAATTCCAAGGTTTTTGTTATTTCTTGCGGATAGGCGTATCCAAAAATGTAATAACATAAAAATGTTATTAATATTCTTTGAAGAACGTTTGGTACATTAATAATGATTGTTTGTTCAATAACGACGTCGTACTTCGCATTTGGATCGTATAGCGATAATCCTATAAATGAGTAAAGATAATACACATTAATTGTATCTTTAATAATTAATTAATTATTAATTATTAATGCGCGCGCGCACGCACACCTCTAATAATTGCAGTTGGATGAGGAAAAGCTTCTTCTTTTATTTCTTCCTCAGAAGCGTGTACCTGTAAATGAAAGTAACATTTTATTTTAATTGCAGTATTTGGATGATCTAAGTAGGGTAGACCAGGGCGAATCGGATCATTATAAGCTTTGAGACAGTTATCATTAGTTTTTTATTAAGGCAAATCAGATAATTTTCTCTTCGTGATTTTTTTCATTGTGCAATAAGAAATACCATGTTAATGTATCATATTATATAAGTCAGAGATGTAAAGATTAAGAATTTATAGTAAAATTTAATAACAATATTAGTTTTTTATTACTTTTGTACCTATGAAGAAAAATTGGTCCGATTCACCCTGGTCTACCCTACATTTATATGAATCCTCTTTAAGAAACATTCAGTTTGTTTATCAATAATTTTATAGTAAACTTACATCAATAACTTTAATAAAAAAGTCTTGATTTTCTTCAAAATACACCATTAATAGTGGAAAAATGACAATGGTGTAAGGTGTTCTTGATTTTGATGATTTTTTTTCAGCTTTTGCTTCTGCTAGTAATTCACTCATTTTTTTTTTCCGCTGTGCTTGATTGCCTTTAGTTGAATTTTTACTGATGCACATTTCTTTGAAATAATTTTTTGTTTTCTCTGCCAGGGCGGTCAAAGAATTTTGCCATATTTCACTGACTGGCTTTCCTAATAAACATGTTGCATGGTCAATCAACTTTGAAGGTTCATTTAGAAAAGGCCAGTCAGTAAATATTTTGTTTAGATCTCGATCTTTTCTCACATTGATGGCACTTCTCAGTGTAGCATACGTATCTCTAATTAACACAGGAACTGTCACGTCATCAAATGTGAGTGAATTATAAAGATCTTTCAATTTTTGTCGATGAATTTCTTGGGATTCTTTTGTCTCCCCAAGAGGTAATTCTGGTGCATAAGCGACGCACCCATATTCATCATGTTTTCTAGAAGCGTGCGGTCGATCGTCAGTGTGGACAGACTCATGAAAATGTCTTTTTCTGTCTTTATCATTCTTCCTGTAGTCGGCAGCATTATAAATTTGGTCGCGAAGAGTCCCTGTGCCTTTTCCTATATTGTCATTGCCGATTCGATCACAAAAGGTGTTTGGATACTTCTTTACAATGAAAGAAGCAAATTTTTCCGCTGTGCTTCGCTTGAAATCATTTAGTTCTTTCATGTAGTTAGCTATGGATGCCACTAAATATCGCCTGTCTCTAGGATTAGCAGTTGTACCATGTTCACAAGCTTCCTTCAAATCGTGCGTAAAAAATTGTAAAATTTTCTCTTTCCAATTTGCCACTAAATTAGAATCATACGATACTGTAGAAAGAGAAGAAGACGTATCAACTTCTGAAATAAAAATAAAAAATATGAAGAATTTATTAAATTTGCCAAATTACTATTTTTTATATAAACAACCATATTTTTATATAAATTATCTTCTTATACTATATTTATCATTATTTCTTTTTCTAAAAAATTACTAAAAATATTTATATATTTTATAAATTATCAAAAATAAATCTTTCAAACTACTTTAATATAAATTTAAAAATTTTTTTTATAAATAATCAAATTTTAAGACTATTATTATTTTACAATAAATATTAAATAAAATTTTAATTTTACTTATAGATTATTCCATAAATATTTAACAAAATTAAAAATATAATTTTCTTAATTAAACATTAAATTTTTAAATTCTACTTAAATTAAATTTATTTATATAAAAACTAGATATCATTATAATTGAATAAAATATCTTCTCTAATTTATTATTTAAAATATTTTTACTACAATAAATTTCATAATAAATTAACTCTTATAATTTCGAGATAATTATTATCCATAATTATAATTTTAATAAATTCTGATACAAAAGGAACAACAAATTAAATTTTCTTATTTTAATCTTATCAAAAACAAATTCACTTACATTACTTTATTTATAATTAATTTAATTAACTTATTTTCTTTAATTAACTATAATATATATTAATTTATTATAATTTTATTTAATTATATATATAAATATGTTACGAATAATGGTGGAATTTTTAAAAAGTAGAAAAAGAATGAAATTTTCATGTAGCAATTTACTTTCAATTGAAGTGAATCATACAGTAAAAATACTTATTCGTACCTTGAACTACTTCCAATCCGTCTGCATTTACATTTGATTTATTCGATATATTAAGGAAATCAAAATCATCAATTGATGATATTTCTGGTAACAAAAGTTTCAGATCAAGATAAGTTCCGCGATGTAGTGCAATTTCAGCCATCTGTATTAAAATTTCATTTTCGTCGATTTCCATTCCATCCTTCAGAGCAAGCTATATATTTTTCAAAATCAAACATTACAAAATACTTCCTAATATTAAAAACTTCAAAACGTTAATCTTGATTTAATAAAGTGAAAATATTTAAAGTAATCTTACTAACTAATGTTGACCTTTGGGAAAAAGAGGTTTGACAAATTGAAGAAGATAAAAACCGAATTAAAAGAATATCAAAACCTTATATTCCAATGCTGGAAGATTAAGCTTCTTTACGGCTATACTGATAATCTCATGAATGGTTGCTGCTTTAACAGAGACTTTCTTTCCAACTCCTTCTATTTCTACTCCGAAAATATGCATTTTATACAAATATCTATGTAATAAAGAAGAAACAAAAGTGTTGTATTATACAAATCAACGAAATTATCCAGATATAAAAGGTAAAAAAGTGGAAGAAATAATTATTGATAATGAGAACTTTTATCAAATGTGTGTACTTACATGAGAGGAATAAGGTAATTAGATTTAGATTTAGGTTATGAAAGCATAAAGGTAAAAAATAAGGAGATAGGATGATCAACATTTTACAATCAATTATTATTATCAATTATTATTATTATCAAATATTTCAGTTAGTAAATACAATTTAATTCAAAATTTACCTCGATTATATAATGACTAAGTGGGAAACTATCATATATATATATATATATATATATATATATATATATATATATATATATATAAATAACAGTTATTTCGAAACATTGATCTATTAGTCTGTCTGGCGTCATCTACCCTAGGCCCCTGAAATGTTGCCATAATCTTTTAAAGTTTTCTTTTAAATGTATAATTTGCAATAATTATGTATAATGTAAATGCAGCTTATATATATATAAAACATAATTACCCTATGAGCTGCGTGCGACGAATCCATACTTTGGTTTAACACATATACAATTTCCGATATTATAAGCATGTAACGGTTCATAACTAAGCATCTCTTCCAAAGGCAAACACTCGTACTTAACAATTGTTCCAAGTTCGTATGTTCGACAGTGCGGTCGAAAAAACGTTTCACGAATTTCCAATACGAAGAAAACGTTTCTCTCATCATCAAACAGAAGCAAGCATATTTGTCCCATCTCGACATTAAATTGATAACCAAATTGACGTACGCATACAGCATCTCCTTTGTTATACATAGTACCTTTTACAGATAATTTGTTGCACTCCTCGATATTTGATGGCAAGTTTGTTTCTTTGATAGCTTCCTGTAGTTTTTCTGTATAAATGTGAAGGGAAAAAGGAGAATTTTCGTATACATGAACTGTAAATCTCAAATCTGCTCCTAATCTAAGGAAGCTTTGATAAAGCTCATGCTTTTCACTCAAAGTTTTAGTGACGTTAATAAAATTGTGAAGAGTTCGTATTGCTCTTTTGAAAAAAGTGTGTTTACTTTCAAATCGCATACTCCATACTTTTATTAACGGTCCGAATGTTCTAATTAAATCAGGATAGTGGTGAAGATAATGATGTTTCGGAAGAAGCTTTTCTTCGAATAATGTCTGTCTCCGTGAAAGATAGTCGTTGATCAAAACTTGAAGATAAGGTAGGTACGATTTTTCGATAACTGGTGCCGTAATAATTTCAACAATTTCTGTAAGTAATAATAATGACATCCAAACTTCATCATATGGATCTTTAATATAGTTGTCCATTATCAAAGAGAAAAGTCTCAGGAATTGCCAAACTTGACAGGCTCCACCTATTATTCTATTCTTCTTTTCTTCTATCATGCGTGGTTTATCTTTCAAATCTTCACTTGAGTATGGAAATGTTTCAATTCGATTATTAAGTGTAGAAATGGAAAACCATTTTTTCTTCACAAAATAATTTATAAACAACTTCAAATCAAATGCGACTGCTCCTTCAAATAAGTCATGTCCAAGGCAGGGAGGTAGACCAGGATTACATACATGATACGTACACAATTTGTTAAATATAGAATTGAACTTAACCACCCTGGTAGCTTTTAAGATTTTTTTCTTTAATTTCTTCTAATGCTTTATTATAAGATTCAATGCTTCTTACTGGATACGATTTCCAAGCACCGTCTTTTGTATAGAATTCTTCCCGAGTTATCAAACAATATCTACAAAAATGTGTTGTTCTGCCAAAACTTTCTATGAAGCCACCTAAAGAATGACTGCCCAAATTATCTCCAACAAAAAATATAAGAGTTCCTTTCAATGTTTGGCCTGTTTGTACTCGTACTCCGTTTGTTTCAATAATTTTTAAACTCTGCACGAATTTTCCATAGACTTTCTCATGATCAAAATATTTTTCTCTACAAAGAGCAACTAGTTTTATATTACTAATATGTGACCGAAGATAATCGGGTATGTTTCCAAAGCTAGCATATATAGCCAGTATTTTATATATCTTTTTGGCAGGTCCAATTGGACAGACAAGCTCAAAAACGTCTTGATACCCTATGATTATTAAAGCATCGGGATGGTTTTTCAAAAATACATTGTTTCTTATAATAGTTCCATCATTAATATCTTTTAACATGGTACTTTCAAAATTCACCGAAACAGCAGATAAATTGTTTGCTATTGATTTATCTTTGAAAAAAACACTTAATTGTTTTTTCTATTGGTACGTAGTGAAAGAATATTTTTTTACCATCTATAATTGTTAAAAGCTCTGCCTGAGGTTCTACATAATTAAAATATGTTTTGTAAAACTTTTTACGTTTATAATCGGTACTCAATCAATTGTGACTTGTCGAGAACAAATTACTTTTAAAAACATCATCGACAAGTTGAATTGATACGTCTGGCAATATTCCTTTTTCTATTAAACGGATTTGTAATTTTTTTTTTACGCTCTGACTTTCCTCATGATTATCGTACTGTCTAGATACGATGTATTGGATAGTACTCGCAGGAATCATAAATTGGCATTCCAATTTCATGTACAATTGAGCTACATTTGACAAGTATAAGTCTTCCATGTTGTCATCAACTTTTTGAGAAATCACGTTAGCATCGCTCGTGATTGGGTAACTGAATTTGTGATTCTCCTGCATCACATCACACATTATAATCTACAATTTTAGCTTGCAATTCATCACTTTTTGAAGAAATTGATGATTCTCCTACAACAGTTCTGTGTCTCTTGGACCAATGTCCAGCAAAAGAATTCACATTATTATATGCTTTCTGACAATCTATGTAAGGACATTTTACTTTTATATTATCATTCATATGGGCCTTTAAATGTTTCATAAGTACAGCAAAATTGTCTAGCTCTTTTTTGCATATTTTAAGTGTGCATACAGGGTGGGCCATTTTAATCTATGCACCAAAATTTCTCCGTAAGTAAGCCAAATACAGAAAAATGGTTCAGACAAAAGTTGTTCAGGATAATGGGGGGTCACCTATTTGTGCTAGTGACTTTGACCTTGAAGTAAATTTTCAAGGTCATTTGAAGGTCAGAGTTATTTTTTTAAATAGAAATCCCTATTTTTAATTCCAAAATCTAATAGCTGGTGTCAAGAGCTTTTCAAAACACTATAATGAAGTTATTTTTCATTAAGTACTTTTCGAGTTATGAGGCTTGTAAATTACAGTATTTTGACATAAAATACAAAATATCTTGTAAATATCTTGTAAAACATTCAAATCTTGGGAATCTTACCTTAATACTTTTATGCATAAAATAACGAGACGAATCAATTGATATAAAGAAAACACATAGTTGCTTTAAAAAAAAAATGTAATTTGCAACATGCAACTGCATACTTTTTTTTAAAACCAATGTGTTTTCTTTATACCAATTGATTTGTCTCATTATTTTATGCATAAAAGTATTAAGATAAGATTCTGTATATACTTTGCTTGTTTATTTACCATATTATTCACAGAATTAATTTGTATGTTTTGGTTAAACTGTACATTATAAACCCTTATCAAATGGTTCCTTAAGGAAGTTTTAAATTCAAAAAATTTTTGAGTGTTGAAAACCACAATGAAACTTTGATGTAACATTTTTGATGTTGCATGAAAGATAGTATTTTTGCTGTCATAAAACTGCAGAAAGAACAGAAAAACATTTTTACAAATCTGAAAACAGAATAAAAAAAAATCATCAAAATGTGTTTGAATTTTTAATTTTCATGAAAAATGTATTTGCTTTGAAACTCATATATTAGAGGAATTGAAATAGCCCATATTACGAATAATAATTAATTTTTCTTAATTAATAAGTGTTGCGGATTCGATCGATTCCGTGACAGCGGTCGATAATCGAATAATAATCCGCGTGAAGCCGGAGAGGCAGCACTTCCCGGCGAGAGTATTTAGCGTGTGGTTTTCGTCAATCACGCATAATACACGTAAAAGGTCGCGCACTGTAAACAAAATCCTTTTGGGCTTCTCGGCAGCATGCGAGTCGGCAGTCGCCCAGAATCTCTCCACAAGGAAAGTTTCACGTGTCGGTGAACGAATAGTAGCGACTCATCTCACAGATTTAATTCACGTGTCAGTGAGGTAAATCAAGATTATTATTTACAAGCCGATTATTCGATCGCATAAGCATTAAAAGGAGGAAAGGAATGTATTG